GCCTGTATTGCACCTGTACTTGCACCTGTACTTGCGCCTGTATTGCACCTGTACTTGCGCCTGTACTTGCGCCTGTATTGCACCTGTACTTGCGCCTGTATTGCACCTGTACTTGCGCCGCTCGGGCGCACACATCACCTTCTCCAACCTCGCAACTTACAAGTTTGAACATCTTTTGTGTTTTACTCATTCACTCAGCAAAGAATCTAAACCTATACAAAGAATTTCCTAGTCTTAGTTTTGGACTCTTTCCATTCCCATTTTTTTATATGAAAAGGATGGGAATGGGAAGTGGATTTAACGGAGGAGGGGCACAGGACAGGACAAGTTGTTGGACATAAATAACGATCCATTCTTTTATCTACTTGTTGATAATGTATTTAGATACAAAACAAGCTAGTACTATGATCACAGGAAACAAATACCTAATAGTATCCTTAACTAGTTAACAAGTCGGTCTGAGAGCGCTGCGGGGGGGCAGGCTGGCAGGCGGGCGCTGGGGGGGGCAGGCGGGCGCAGGCCGGTCAGCTCGGCCACGCGCTCGTACACCTCGTCGGCGCGGAGGCGTGCGCGCGCAGCCCCGTGCCGCAGCACGTCGCGCACCAGGTGCGGGCGCGCCGCCAGGTCGGCCAGGCGCGCGCGCACCGGCGCCACGCACTCGCACAGCGCGCTCGCCACCACCTCCTTGTACTGCGCGCTCGTCAGCCCCTCCGCCTCGCTCACCGCCTCCTCCGGCACCAGGTCGCGCGCCAGGCAGTGCAGCCGCACCAGGTTCGACACGCCCGCGCGACTCTCCGGCTCGAACGTCACCTGCGTCCCGCGCCCCGCGCCCTCTACTCTAATACTGTCCTTCCCTCCGTCTCTCGGTTCAAAACGGACAATTTTCCACATTTTTGGCAAACAATAAACCAAAAACCAAACTAGAAGCTACATGAGAATTTTATCTTAATCTAGCGGGTTTTGATTAGTGCTCCGTTTGCCTTTATTAGGATATGTTTTAAACGTTTACGTAATATGTCGTACATAATTGTATGAACTTTCCACTTTAAGGAATATACTTTTTGTGACAATGATACATTTTTATTTGAAAACATAAAAATTAGATAGAGAGAGAGAGAGAAAAAGCTACCTGTGGCGTGAAGTCGGTGACGGCCTTCCTTATCTTGAGCCGGATGGCGTCGTCGGAGTCGGTCAGCAAGATCCGACTCTTAGGGTCGGGATCGGACTTGGACATTTTCTTCGACGGATCGCGCAGACTTCTGATTCTGTCGCTGCCATCATCTACGGCAACGACATATATTTATAAGTTTAGTTTTGCTCACTTAAATATTCCTCGTGGACGAGTTTCAACTCTAAAACATGTCGAAGATAATTTATAAACGGCGCGGGCAGAGTTTGGCGTGGCGCGGTTAGAGGCGCCGGCTTACCGGGCAGCAGCGCGCGCGGTGTGGGGAACGCGCGCCCGTAGCGGTGGTGGAAGGTGCGCACCAGCTGCGCCGCCACCTGCAGGTGCTGCGCCTGGTCCGCGCCCACAGGCACGTGCGTGCCGCGGTACACCAGGATGTCGGCCGCCTGCGCAATGCCACCTCACTGCTTCACTGCTTCACTGCCGCCCCCCCATTGCCCCCCATTACAGCTTTCATTTAAAACTTTCGATATTATTGTTCTAAACGGAAGGGGCGAAAACGAGTCAACCCTGACCGACTTATACAACGTTTCAGTTTTGTATAATATTACACATGCAAACTTTAGGGATTAAAAACTATTTTATTTATCATCATCATCATCATCATCATACTCAACCTAAACTTGTCCACTGCTGGAGGTAGGACGTATTTTATTTATAATTCAACAAATTTCAATTGAAATGTAAATAAATTATGCCAGCCCGGAAAAAAAAGAAATTTCACCCAAAAAAACAAAATTTTTCACTAAAACTTGACAATTCAGAAAATATTCAAGGTAAAAAAAAATGTATGCAGAAAGTTCCCTAATCATGATATATGTAAAAAGTAATGCTTACTTCATATAATAGAAGAAGTTATCTCGCAATTTATACAAAATACATAAGTGAAATAGCACAATGACAAATCCGAGGCGGACCTGGAGCACGGGATAGAGCAGGAGACCGACGGGGACCTCCTTGATGGCGGCGGCCTTCTCCTTGTACTGGGGCAGGTGCGCGAGGCGCGCGTGCGTCGCCAGGCAGGCGAGCAGCCAGCACAGCTCGGCGTGCCGCGCCACCGCCGACTGCACGAACAGCACGCCGCGCTCCGGGCACAGGCCCGCCGCCAGCGCCGCCGCCGCCACCTGCAGCGTGCGCGGCTGCAGCTCGCCCGCCTCCTGCGCACCACTCTACCACTGCACCACTCTACCACTGCACCACACCACACAACACACACAAATGCAACATGTGATTTTCACAATTAGCAATAAAAATGTTTTATATTGCAACTACTTTGTCAATAGCACTGTGGCTCATCACCAATCTCTCCCGCTCTCTCTCTGTTGAGCTCGCATCCAACAAGGTGATGGGTTCAGGTCTTCAATGTGTTCAATTTAGATCTACAATCTAAAGGGTTAAAGTTTGTTATAAAAGTTATTTAATGGAATAGGACGTAATAACCAAATAAAATGTAGTACAATCTTCAGTGATGCAGTCAACTTAGCATTGGATATCAAGTTCTAGCTGTCATCCCTCATGTTTATTTTAACCAGTCCTATGTTTGCCATAAATCTTGTAAATTAAATTTGATCTACTTCCCGGTTATTGATAGAGCTAAAACTATGCATTTCTTTTTTTTATATCATAAGGTGGCAAACGAACGAGCGGCCACCTAAAATCGCAGAAATAGTGAAGTGACTGTTGCCCACAGACATACGCAATTGCATATGCGTTGCCTACCTTTAGTCAGTGGAGAAGAGGATGTACAGAAAGAAAATATTTTCCCTTCCCATGCATCCTCTCATCCGGAGCGTCCACTTCTTCTTCCCATCCTTTCCTTATAAGAAAAAGAGTGGGAAGGGAAAGAGGACTAAATTAGACCTCCGGGATGCACACTCATCAGACGAAACGCGGAATTGCTTTCACTTCACGCCTGTCTTCTGTGTAGTTGTGGTATTTCACCGGGCGAGCCGGGCAAAATTGTGCGAAGACGTTAAAGCGGGCTCTACCACTGTTGAAATTCATGTGTAAATTGCATGTCAAAGCATTATTATGATGACATCATATTGGATCTGATGATGGAGCTAAAAGGTAAGGCTATAAGAACTTTACAATGTAAGGACACAACCTGATCAAGTTGGTGAATAATCCTTCTGCTTTTACATGTTTTTTTTTTTATTAATTAACAAGAACATAATAAAAGCTTGTTTTGAAAATGATTGTTTTCTTTTAATTGCAAATATCAAATACTAATACTATACTACTACTAATATATATATATATAAGTTTATCCAATGTTTTACAATAAAGACCTACACATATCTGCAGAGACATGCAGGTCAAGGTTATGTAAAATTCATGTTTGCAACCTTCTAAATATGCAAAGCCAATGATCCACTGTATAACACCACTCTAAGTTGTAAATGTCATAATATAAAATTACATGCCCTTTCAGTCTCAGCTACTGCTGCAATAATTTTTTTTCCAGATGTGCAAATATACAACCTGGCGTCCTGTAAACGAGTGCAAGTCGGCAATGAAGACCATGACGTCATCGCCTTGCTCCTGCAGCTGCACACAGCGCCGCAGCGCGCCGAAGTAGTTGCCCAAGTGCAGCTCGCCCGTGGGCTGCAGCCCGGTCACCACCCGCCGCGGCCACGCCTCACCCACCTTTTCCTCTGACTTACACTGCCGTTACAAACAAACATTCTATTATTTTGATTACATGTCAATCTATTTTTAAGAATTAATAAAAATTTCCGTTTATCATTATTTACCTTATCAGAAAAAAATCTATTTGAATTCCTATAAATACATTTCATATGTGATGTAAACAAGGCTGAACTTTTCATTGAAAACATTTTTGTGGGGGTGAGTTTTGAACATAATATCGTAAAAAGTACCATTTTGTAAAATATAATGTTAAATATGGTAAAAAGAGTAAACTCATTCAACATGTCATAACTTTTGGTATCTTAATGTTAACATTTTTTCTTTCCATTAAAATTTGTAGACCCCTGTATTATTGCTTAAAATCAATAGTTTGTGAAAACTAAAAACCAGATGACCGGAACAGTGACAGAATGAAATGACAGTTGACATAAGAAAAAATAGACATGTGGTCGATACATGTTCCACCACTTTGTGACTTCGGCACATTTAGGTGCCTATTAGCCTAATAACTACTCTGTGGTCTGTGCTCAGCTGATCTGACACTTCCAAATAAGATATTACCTAAAGGTCTATGTTACCAGGTCATAAAATTAAAAAAAAATGGTCTGACACTGACGTTTACACCTTTCATTTTCATTGTTATTTCTTGGTTACTGTTTTGTCTGCTCGTAGAGGATTAATTTATGTTTTTAAAATAAGAAGGAACCAAAAAATTCTATACTTAACGCCATTTATAAGATTTGAATATATTCCTTATATTATTAATACCTATTTAATTATACTCTTATCTTAAAATTGTGATTGTACTTGTTATTTAGTAATATACTGTGGAAATGTAAATTTAAGAAATCAAATAATCTTAAATATCGTTAGTTGTTAACCAAGTAAGTAAGTAACTTTCTTTTGTTTATACCTCCGATGTCTGCGAATTTGTTTGCATGCACTCAAGATAGAAGTAGATAAATCTAGAAAGCAAGATAGAACTACTAGATAGCCATGTGTAAATCAGGTCTGAGCCGGTTAAAAAGTTCAGCTCACATAAACTTGAACTGTTGAGCAGTGGTTCAACATCTAAATAGGCAGGTCACAGATTGATTATCATGTACCATAACATACATGATTAGACTAGCCGCCAGCTGATTAGTGACGCGCAAATCATAACTCATGTGCACAATTTGAGTTAACTGTTCGGCTTCACACATGTGAGCTGTAGTCTTCAGGTCCTCAATTATAGTTCATTTACGTGTGTTTATTATTTTGTAGATGTGTTGAAAAAACATTTGTAAGTATTTGTGGCACCCTGAGGCTGAGGGTTTTTTTAAATCAATTTTAACTTGTTGATAACAAGGCCACATTATTTCATCATCATTTGTTTCCTGCTTAAAGTAGAATATTATGCACACACATAAGATGAAATGTGTAATTAAGCAATTCTTTCTACTTCAGGCCTGTGTTCTGTTTGACTAAAATTTGTTTTCCGTCACCTATATAAATGTTGAATGTTGTAGCAAGACATTGTTGGCTGCATACATGACATGCATTACATACCCATAACATCCCGGTGTAGGTAGCGTCTGGCAATTTGAGAATGCAGTCATTAAGTTTAAATGGCTCGGGTCATAATAGCTTGTATCTATTATCTTTTTCTTATATGAAAAGTGATGTCATAATTTATGAATTGTAGTGAGTAGCGCGACGCGACGCTGGGCCAGCGCGGGGGCAGGCGCGGGCGCGGCGCGCATGCGGGCGTGGCGCGCGCACTGCTACGGCGGACCCGCCGAGCTGCGGCTGGAGGAGGCGCGCGTGCCGCCGCTGTGCGCGCCCGACCATCTGCTCGTGCGCGTGCACACTTCTTCTATAAATCCACTCGATGTCGCCATGGTCGGTGCGTACGTTTTGACCTACCACCGGTAGCATTTTTCGGAGGTATACACTCTAATCTGGATATGCAAGAGTCCAAAGAACCGCCCTATTTTTCTCGATTATAGAGGTCGTTCATCGGGACCACATAATGACCGTCGCTAATAGAAGTTCCTCGCTTATTAAGATTTGACTGCATATCCATATCCATTTCATTGGAACTCTTCGAAGGAGAAAGTAGATCGTCCACTGGTAGATATTTGTAAGCTAAGGCGAAGTGGGCCGCAGGGGGCTACGGGGCGCGCGCCCTTAACGCGCTAAGGGCGCTGCGCGGCGCGGACGTGGAATTCCCTCTGGTGGTGGGGCGCGACTTCTGCGGCGAGGTGGCGGCGGCGGGTGCGGGCAGCCGGCTACGCGCGGGCCGCCGCGTCTGGGGCGTGGTGCCGCCGCACTGGCCCGGCGCGCACGCCGACTACATCGTCGTCAGAGACCGCTGGGTAACTGCCGCATCCACACCTCAAATCAAACAAACGACAATTAACATTACGAACAAAACATCACGGTACAACATTTGGCGAAACTAATACTTAACCAATTTTTTTTTTCCAAATTGGGGATGATTTGTGAACAAACTAATCCATGCGCTACGTCGGTAACGTACACAGGCGAGCGAGGCGCCCGATGCCTTGGACGACTGCGCGGCTGGCGGCGCGCCCTACGCGGCGCTGTCGGCGTGCGCGGCGCTGCGGGCTGCCGGCCTGCCCC